ACTTTGTTTTTCAACTCGATTAGTGGCCTATTAAACCATATCGGTTGTTTCCTAATGATTTTTGTTTTTAAGTGGATATGAGTTTCGATTGTTGACTTTACAATTGTATAGAAATTGTTTAGTTTTAATTCTAATGAATTTAATCGAATTCCTTATTCCAGTCAGAATCAAGCAACGACTCATTTTTTAAACAATTTTTTGATATCCCAAAATAGAAGGACTTTGGCCCCGACTGATCTATGGCTGGAAAACCCTTGGTGCTTGGGCCGAAGATTAAGAAAAAAATTGAAGCTCGAAAACCCGTCACTAGCATTTTAAAAATGTCATATTGTGTCTGTCTGTCCGCTATTTTGCGAAAATTATTTTTTCGAAACTTTCTATGATTAAAGTCAATCTGACTGACTATACTATACACTAGGGGTGAGCAAATTTGTTTTTATTTGAGTACTCAAGATGGCTATGTATTTTCTGATAGAGGACATTAAGATAAACAGCTTTTGTTCCGGGACTTTTTCCAGATGTCACTCCTCGGACCCCCCGGTGTATTTGAATTTTATGGAAAAAAATCATAAAAATGTGAAAAAATAAGTACGAAAACTGATATGAAATCAAATTAAAACTTTTAAAATGTCATCTATTTACAATAAGGCCACTTCACGCACAATTTTGAGCACTTTTGAGTACAAATTAACGGTAAATAACTTAAAAATTTAGACTTTTTTTACCTTTTTTCGATAAATTACACGAAAAATCAAGGCAATGTGTCATTAGAGTTATCTTGAAATAGTACTTTATCGAATTTCAATAGTCTTACCCCCATAAGTTGTTCTATTTGGTCCATAGATTACGCCTGTAAAGTTTCTTCCAAATTTGAATTCATTTACTCTGCTGAATGGCCTCGGAAATTTCAAAAGTTGATTTTTTGGAAAAAAATGCTCGCTTCCCATACGATTTCTTACGCTTCGAATTTTCGTAATGAATCCATTTTTCATCACCAGTAACAATTCGATGCAAAAACGACTTCTTTTTGTGGCGCTCAAGCAGCATTTCGGACATGCAAAATCGTTTTTCAACGTCTCTTGGTTTCAATTCATGTGGTACCCAATTTTCTTGCTTTTGAATGAATCCTAATGCTTTTAAACGTTCTGATTTCCTAATAATTTTGCAAGTTCTTCTTGAGTTTGAAACGAATCTTGATCGAGTAATACCTCCAATTCTTCATCTTCAAACTTTTTTGGCTGCCCAGGACGTTCTTTCTCTTCTGTGTCGAAATCACCACTTTTGAAGCGCGCAAACCAACGCTGACACATTCTAACGTCTACATCATAGTCAGGATAGGCTTCAGTGAGTAAACGATGTGCTTCAGTTGCATTTTTCTTTAAATGGAAGAAGGAAATTAAAACTTCTCGCAAATGATCTTTTGTTGGAACGAAATTCGACATTTTGAACGCAATAAAAAACTTGTGTGCATAAACTTGTATTCACTTCGACAGATGAAATTTAATAGTTTTTTTGACGCTCTTTAAGATACACTTGTTGACACTGTCAAAAAAATGGCGCGTATGATTTATCAAATAAAAAAGGTGAAGAACGAGTGACGAAACCAAAATTTGAAACACAAAATTTCTGATATCAATTTTGTGACGAAAATAGTTGGTAGATATATTTTCTGTGTACTGTGAATATAACATAAACTTAATATACATTTGTATATTCGAAACGTTGCAGAAATTCCTTTCTTTTTACTTTGAGTTCATACTGACGCAATGAAGCAACGTTCCGAATTTACAGAACATATTTGCAGATTTCTTTTAATTTCATTTGTGACTAAGCGCATGCACCTCTCCCGACGATAGTTCACCTTCTGGCGGGAGGGGACATAAGATTCTGTATTTTATCAGGAGACTATCAAACATGTAGTTATTTGTTGTTAAAATTTCATATTTCATACATCTAGACATTTTTGTGAAAATTCGAATTTTGGTACATTTGGACGATTTTTGGTGGAATATCCATCCAAAACGGTCGACATTTTGTTCAATTTTGTTTGGCTAGTCACAAAGCATATTTACAGAGTCATTGGAGTACATTGTTGCCCATAAAATACTTCAAATGTTAAAAGTAACATTTTTTGTCATTTTTGGTTATATTCGCACTATCAAAGGCCATATCTCGAAAAAAAGAATTTTCTGAGATATGAGCTATGCGGCATTTTATAGCTTAGACTTGGGCCTAAAAATCGGTGAAATTTTCAAGTGATCAAGAAAGGCTAGTTTTCGAGCTAATGACCATTATGTGTCCGGCCAAACGGTAACTTTTTAGTTTTTGGCCAATTTGGCCACTCCAAATTAAAATTTTTGGACCGCAAATGGCTTCATTCGATAGCTCACTTCAAGACCTTTCCAATGATATGCATATGTCCAGGAATGTCAAGTCATGGCGCTTCGGTGACCATAGGAAAAAGAGTCGAAAAGTGAATTTTAGACGCCGGCCATGGCCAACATGGCGGCCATACCGAAAAGTGCCGGAACAAAAAAGTCTTAGTTTTTTGTGTACTTCAATTACAGAAAGTTTCAAAAAGATCAAAAACAAGTACGCCTAATTGCGCACAGACACACCAAATGACTTTTATAGGAAAATCATATGAAATTTTCAAAATGCGGAATTTTTCGAAAAGATTGATCGATTTTGACGGTTAGGGGGTCGTTGGAAAGGTATTGAGCTCCAGAATTCGAATATCGATGGTTCATGGGTTGACGACCTCATTTAGTGCCATCTATGGCTATAAACCTGACCATACAACTTTATATATAACTTTTCTTGAAAGGACCATATTTTGAAGACAGGTGGACCGATTTCCGAACTTTGATATTTTTTCTTGATCTATGGCTCAAGGGCCTTCCAACCATACATCAACCGGAGCTAAAGGCCTTCCAGATTAGAATTTGGACATTACGTGTATATATAGCGAGTTCGACTTTTCAACACACTAAAGTGGTTTCGTCACTCGCGCGAACTGCCGTTCGCTGTGATAAGAAGTTGACACAAATACGACATTTTTAAGTTGCACTACCAATATATACAAAATTAGAGCACAACATTTTACCATGCTTCCAGATTATGATCGATTTCATATGGAATTGTCGTTATCTCAAGTAAAAATGGGAAAAACCTAAATTATAAACTCATCGAAATTTTATTTTATCGAAGAATACTTGTCATATTCAAAACTCAATACCATTTTCACTGTAATCGAATGAAAACAAATATCCAGTTTTCTCATAGTAACTTATATTTTTGTAACATTTCAGGCCAGTCTTCGGAATTCGAAGAAAATGTTCAAGACATTAGTAAACTATATCTAATTTACGCTGATGAAGTACTAGGTTCTGGTCAATTTGGAATTGTTTATGGTGGATCACATAAAAATACTCATCTTGAAGTAGCAATTAAAGTGATCGATAAACTTCGATTTCCTACAAAACAAGAAGCACAACTAAAAAATGAAGTAGCAATTTTACAAAACATCTCACATTGTGGCGTTGTCAATTTGGAACGAATGTTCGAAACACCAGAAAAAATTTATGTCGTAATGGAAAAACTTAAGGGAGATATGCTGGAAATGATTTTGTCGAGTTCGCGAGGAAAACTGAATGAACGTGTTACAAAATTCCTAATAACCCAAATACTAGTTGCTTTGAAGCATCTTCATAGTAAAAATATAGTGCATTGTGATCTAAAACCAGAAAATGTCCTTTTATCAACCGATTCAGAATTTCCTCAAGTTAAGTTATGTGATTTTGGCTTTGCCCGAATTATTGGAGAGAAATCATTCAGACGTTCCGTTGTTGGGACTCCCGCATATTTGGCTCCAGAAGTTTTGAGAAACAAAGGTTATAATCGATCCTTGGATATGTGGAGTGTTGGTGTAATTATTTATGTCAGCCTAAGCGGAACGTTTCCATTTAATGAAGACGAAGATATTAACGATCAAATACAAAATGCAGCATTCATGTACCCACCAACACCGTGGAAAGACATTTCTAGTGAGGGTTCGTATGTTTTCCATCTTTATTATTTTATTTTACATTTAATAATTGTGAAATCTCTTTAATATTTAGCGATCGATTTGATAAATAATTTGCTGCAAGTGAAGCAACGCAAGCGATTTACTGTCGATAAAAGTTTACTGCATTCATGGTTACAAGATCGGCAAACTTGGCAGGACCTAAGGACACTTGAAGGACAAGTCGGTGTTCGTTATTTAACCCATGAATCTGATGACATACGTTGGAACTAAAACAAATAATAAAGAAATTTAATTTTAACATAATTCGAAAATTTCAAAATCTAAATGTGTCGCAATGTCCAATTATACAGTAAACAAATGTTTAACTGAAAAAAAAAAATAATTATTACATTAAAAAAAACCAAAAGTTTCACGTTATTACAAAATCATACAGGCTCCCAATAAACATATTTTTGGAGAATATTTGAAGTAATAATGGAAAATTCAAGAAATAAAATGTGTTTTGTGTAGCATTGGATTATTGGATCTGAACGGGGAGCATCTTAGGTCTTCTTTTCAGTAATATCCATAGTTTCTCGATGCTCAGGTTTTTTAACCTATTGCAAGACGCCTGTTTGTGTGTCTAATGCACACCAATAAATAGTTTATCCAAAAATAAGATTCAGACAAGTGTTTGTTTCACATGCCGTCTTGAAGAGATTAAAAATTTTGAAAATTTCAAGTACTTCGTTTCAAGGTTGTTGGTAAAAGTCCCCTCCATCGAAATCGTGAGACACCTGAGAATGAGATGAGAAGTAGATTCCACATCTCTTCCACATAGTCTGCAGTCCGGGTCGTCTCTATGATTTCCTAAATGATAATTAACCCTAGCATGCATCGTCAAAATACCAATAACAATTCAGATTTCACCTTTTAATAATTTCATAAGTTGTTTCGTTATTTTTCCACAAGGAACTCTGACAAAATATTTTGTCTGCTCACATATTAGTGGATTTTGCCAGTTACTTAAGCTTCAATTGTTAAGCCATGTAGATAGCCACCCCGTACTCGTGAATATTCCGCAGGCAGAAGTGGCTCCGGCCCAATGGCTGATGCTGTTTGAAGCTGCTTTAGCTGCTCCGTCTGCCAAATCATGACCCCTGATATTCGAATGTGCTTTGAACAACTAGTTGTGGATTTGTCTCAGGCCACTTCCCACTGTGAATCCTTGGATGGCCCCAAGACTGTCAATGAAAATGGCCACATTTCCCCCGTTCTCAAGAATACTGTACGCACAATGATGAATTGTCGCTATTTCCGCCTGTGTACTTGTTGCTGTCAAACCCAGGGGAATGGAAATTGACTGAACCGTCAGTGAAATAGGAGTAACGTACTCATCTCTGATGCTATGCTATCAATGAAATTCAATCAAAACTTGAAAAATTATCTATAATTAATTTACTATATTTTTTCCTCTCCTTCATTTCGTTGCTTAAAAATCCAACCATTTCATCTATTTTGCTAATTTGATACTTTGTGTAACATTTGTCACTGTTGTGTAACATTTGTCACTTTTGTGTAAAATTTATCACTTTTGTGTAAAATGTGTCACTTTTGTGTAAAATTTGTAATTTTTGTGTAACATTTGTCACACGCGACTGACGCTTATGTACTCTTAATGTGTAGAGCACTCAAAAAGTGAAAAAAATCCAGATAGTGATTTGGATGATAAGGAATGCGAATTTTTTCATTCTTATTTCACCAGGTGATACAGAAAGTTGAGTAGTATTTGAGAATTGAAGAATTAAAATAAAAAGACAGTGTTATTTCAGCGGTTTTCCGTGTTTTTCATACAAGCTTCCCATATAGATGATGAAAGATCGCGAAAAATGAAAAAAATAATTAAATTTTTTTTCTTCGATTTACAAATACATCTCAATTTTCTGTATCACCTGGTGAAATCAGAATGAAAAAAATCGCATTCTTTATCATCAAAATCGCGATTGGCATCCGCCTATTACTTAATAGGTTTCATTTGGCAGCTATATGGCAATGTTATATGAAACTCTCTAGGGGGAGACACCAAGAATAAATTCCGAATCCACTATATAAATTACTAATCCAGCTATTCCACTAATCCAAAAACACAAATGTGAAATCGAAACTATTTTTCCTATTCCATGCACTGTTTCCGTCAAACATTTTAATTCTGCTATTCCGCACTATTCCACTAATCCATCAATAAACGTCAAAAGAAATGTCAAATGGATTTGAAGTGAAACAATTTTTGCTATCTCATGCACTGTTTCGCTATTTCACGCGAATCCATTCACAGGCGTTTCTATTTCGTTGCTATTTCATTGCAATTTCTCGAATCTTTACACTAAAAGTCTAATCCTATTCCACGTGTCTGCCCCCTAGGAAACTCCCGGAGACTCGGTATAGAGCACATAAGAAGTGAAAAAAAAATCCGATGTTTTTTCACAATTCTCATGCACAACTGAATGGTCTATATCACCTGGCTCAATCATAATATAAGAATTTGTTATCTCTGTCATACAAATCGCAATGGCAAGTCGTAAAATCGCTGTCTCTCTCACCCTTGCATGTTTGAATGTTTACAAACGACATTATATTCAAACACAACTTGTAATTATATTTTATGGAAGCGAACCAATGATTCACTCAGTTGAGTTAAACTCAAACCAATTATTGTTATTTGAAAAATATGCATGAAAACCTATTATAAAAATGTTAAGCGTAAAAGACAAATGTATACAAATTGCGAGTGAAAATAAAATTAGTCGAGTTATTTTACTTTTATTCCGACTTCAAAGATATTTGTTTTTTACGGTAATTTTCTCCGTTTGTATTTTGAGCAAAATGTATTTGTATTCGGGTTTCGCTCAAAGATCTCATACGTTTGTCTTTTATTCCGATGCGTTCATTTTTGAGTTTGGATTCCAATTTTTATTTTAATTTCAATTTGAAACAACGAAATGTAGGAGAAAAAATGCTTACGTATCAATCGAACTTAACCAATAAAAGAATCAAAATGGCGGATGGTGTTGTCGCGATTAAACTGATTCCAGTTCACATTTTATTTTACTACTCTCGTGTGTTTTAAAAGTTTTCTCCCTTTGCATGTGTCCAGCCAGAAGGTCAATTTTGGTTTTTGTCCAATTTGGCCACCCCGACTTAAAATTTCAAAAACAAAAATGGTACCATTCGATAGCTCAATTCAAAACCTTTCCAGCGATGTGCATATATCCGGGGTGTGTCAAGTGGATGTGCTTCAGTGACCGTGGGAACAAAAGTCAAAAAGTGACTTTTGCCGGAACAAAAAAGTCTTAGTTTAATCGCAGAAAGTTTCAAAAAATCGCGGACAGACAGATATACGAAATGATTTTTATAGAAAAATCATATGAAATTTTTCGAACGTATTGATTGATTTCGACGTTTGATGTATCGATGGAAAGATATTGAGAATCGACCTCATAATGTGCCATCTATGGCCGTAGAACTGAATTTTGACTCTTTTCCTGAAAGGACCATATTTTGAAGACAGGTATTTTCAAAATTTGATATTTTTTCTTGATCTATGGCCCAAAGACTTTCCAACCATACTTCAATTGCGGCGAAAGGCCTTCTAGGTTAGGATTCGGAAATTATTTGGACATAATTTTCAACACATCAATGTGGTTTCGTCACTCGCGCCAACTGCCGTCCGCTGTGATACCATGGTGGACCACAATAGCCGTGTTAAATTGTGTTGGACCATGATGGCCTATGATGGACCATGATGTACGACCTCAATAACCGTGTTAAATGATGTTAGACCATGATGGACCGTAATGTACGACCTCATTACCCGTGTTAATTGGTGTTAGACCAAGATGAACCAAGATGTCCAACCTTAATAATCATGTTAAATGGTGTTGGATAATGTTTACCGGTCAAAACGGATACTTTAAAATATTTAACTCAGACCATCATGCTCGTCCTTCATGGTTAACATGGTTTACCACGAACCATTCTCATCTTTTGGCAACAAAAACTATAAAATACAGACAAAACAATGTGTAAAAATACGGTTTTTTGACCATAATGAACGTGTTAGACCACGATGATGGTTATGAATCTTGTGGAGCAGGTGGATCCAACCAGAGCTGTCAACGAACGGTTCGTTCGTTCGTAGTTATTTTAATTGAATTTTTGTTCGTTCGTTCGTTCGTAGAAATGTATTGCGTTCGTTCGTTCGTTCGTAGAAATTAAAATGTTCGGATTGTTCGTTCGTTGTTCGTAAGGTGTTCGTTCGTTTGTTGTTCGTAGGAAAAGTATGAAAATAAAATAATTATTTTATTAGTGAAATTGAAAGTAGATTATATTTTATGAATTTTGTTATTGAAAACATAAATTATGAGAAAAAATTGAACAAAACAAATATTATTTACTTAAAATAGACAGCGATCAATATAATATTTAAATTTGCATTTAAAACTTTTTAATAAAAAATCCGAAAATATTTAATTTTATACATAAATATTTGGAAAAAATCTTCAGTTCAAATATTTAAACAATATTTAAAATAATTTATTTGAATTCATTTTATTAATTGTCATCGATTTTACTGAGCACAATATTGTTGCTGTGATAGAAACAATACATACACACACAAGCATAAATGTGATGACGCTTAAAATGGCAAGTATTCATCAGAGATTACGCATGTATTCCTTTTGTCACAACAACAATAGTCTGCTCCGTAATATCAATGACAACTAATAAAATGACGACCGAACAATCCGAACATTTTAATTTCTACGAACGAACGAACGCAATTCATTTCTACGAACGAACAAAATAAAAAAAAATTTGCCTACGAAAGAACGAACGAACGTTCATCTCTGGATCCAACCTAACATGGGGGTAACATGCCTAGCCAAATTTCGTTATTTTTGCGATATTTCCATCGGAAAAGCGAGAAAATTCGATCGTATCAAGTTGTGTTCAACGTTATACGTAGTAGAAGCAAACGTATTCACCAGCTGCTTGTGATAGCTGCTTTTCACCAGCCGGCGCTGTTCAGCCAGCAAAAAGAAAGGTCTGCAATGGATGAAGCATCCCAAAATACCTTGGATAAAAGGGGTTTTGGGTGTATTTCTACCCCAAAGATCTTAAAACCAATATACCCAAATAAGGAGGGTAAGAGGCTTTAGGGGTCAAAACTAATGATGCAAAAATTAACTACTATTTAGAGCATCCTAAAATCCTCGAGTATATGGAGAATAAGAGGGATCCCCGAACAAAATTTTGTATGGAAGGTACCCCTCAATTGCATTGAAATTTATTCAAACTTTCAGAATTTTTGTTTTTTTTGTGAAATACCCTGTGCAAAGTTTCACGTCAATTCGATGTTTTACAAGCATGGCTTCCAATTTTAATGAAATGTTTGTATGAAAAGTGCGTCGAAAATTATTTGTATCACAAAACTATTGTCAGATTCAGTTTTCTCGTGAATTCAAATTACAGTAAAAGATGTGTAATAAATGCATGTTGGATCATAGTGCGGAAAAGTTCATCTTACGGATGTAAGACATTTTATTCTAATAATAATAATAACTGCACCGAACAGCGTTCCTTCGCCTTGGTGG